ATGTACAAATTATTGAAACATCTTTCGACATTGGTAGTAGCAACACAATCTTGTCCATCATCGTCTATAGCTAACACCTTCAGCCCATCATGATGGGTGACTCGAGTCAAAATATATAATGGTAGAATATTAGTCAATTAGGGATTTTTTTTATATTTTAAGTTAGTTTGTAATATCATATTCATTTTCAGCCAATTATTCTTTTTTATTTTTAATCAATTAGTCAATTAGAATATCATATGCAATGATATTTTTACCTAATTTTCGTTCGAGTTTTAATTGATTATGTATAATATTATTATTGAAATATTTCCTGATAAGAGGAATTACTTACTGAAAAAAATGTAGTGAATTATTTTATTAAAAGCAGCAAAAAATTGTGTATATAAATTAATAAATTAGTTGTATAAATTAAAAATGAAAAAACAGGAAATACATACTTAAAATTAGATTTCTAACTTATTTAATTTTCAGAATTTCGGAATAAATTTGTAATTTTATATAGTAAGGTAAGAATAATTCTTATGCAATATACGATTTGACAACTCAATTAATATTAAGATTTCGTGCAATGAACATGTATATCATCTTATGTACTCATTTGAACGGTAATTTATTTTTATACAGTAATTATGCATAATAAATTAATATTATGCTAATTAATAACTAATAAAATTTATTATTAATTTGACCATTATAATTAGTCTGGATGATAAAAAACATATATGAATTGGTTCAATAAATCGTAAATATTATCAATTGTTTGGTTAGAAAATAATCATTATCAAATTAAAATTGATTAATTTGACAAATTATACTTAAGATAAATATTACAGATTATTTACTTATATAAAACTTTAATTGAATTATTATTTTATATTTTATAATAAGGAGTGAAAAATTTATATATATATATATATATATATATATATATATATATATATATATATATATATATATATATATATATATATATATATACCATATTGGTTATTGGTTATATACCATATTATGGATTTACGTCCATATGAGAATATGAAAAGAATAAATGTACAACCTAATTAACACTACGTATTACATAATATCATACCTAATATTACTATAAATAATACCATACGTAATTATTATTTTTAATACCATGCATACAATTACCACACATACTTGAATTGGTTATCAATATAGATTTCTTAAATTGGTTATAAATCATATTATGGTATTATGTCCATATGAAATAATATTAACATACATAAAATTACCATACATACTTGTTAATATTTAGATTTATTAAATTGGTTACAATTCATATTATGGTAAAATAATTCTTATGCAATATACGATTTGGAAACTCAATGAATATTAAGATTCCGTGCAATGAACATATATTCCATCATGTGTACTCATTTGACAAAAAATATGAAGGTTGGTTCAATAAATCGTAAATATTACTAATTGTTTGGTTAGAGAATAATCTTTATCAATAAAAATTAAAATAAATTAAATCTCTATCATATTCATATGCTGTTGCTTTAGGCTTTTGTCAAGGAGCACTACTCATGATCCTCAACACATTGCCATGGCTCCAAATCCTTGTGTTACTCCTATTGGTGTTGGAAGGACTGTCACATCAGGAAAAAAAATATTAATAGTCCAAACTCATTCAATGATGTCCCCTCTCATGCAAATGACCTGCAGATCTAGTTGCTCAGAGTCCACTAATAATCAGATGGTCAGTTTTTTTTTTCTATCACTATGAATAGTGCATTATTTAATCTTGCCCAGAGTCCAATAATAAACAACTTTTAATGGATTGAGATAAGGTATTAGAGAAATACCTTTTAATGGGTTGAACAAACTCGTCCAGATTAATGATGAAGAAGATGATATATATGATCAATATAATCATAGTTTATATAATATATGTAGATAGATTTTAAATTTCATCCATGGTATATATGATTTTCTATTCTTTATTTAAAAAAAAAAAGAGTAGAAAAAGGATACAGAGATTTACCAAATGTGTAGGTGTAGTGCAACAGCTCTTCTGGATACGCAGAGAATATGGGTCTTGTTCCTCCTCTTCTTGAAGGTCCCTGTTCTCTACACCATTGCTATGCAGTTGCAGAGAATATTCCCTTAGGTTCTTCGTAACTTGGTACTGTTTGTATTGAAGAGAATGTGATGTATATATAGGTGTTTAGATATGATTAAGGGTAACATTTATGGTTTTTATTATATTACCAATTACCAATTAAAATTAGAGTTACAATTTTACATTTGCTTACCAAAAAATTATATATAGATACTTAATTTATATTTGAAGAATATATTTACCTAATTTACTTTATATACAGTAATAAGTATGTCTACATATAAATGAATAATATATAATATATAATTTCAATATTTTGATAATTAATTAAATTAGAAAATTAGGATATTATATAAATGCCGCTAAGTTTTGGGAAAAAATTTATATGGTTTTTATATTATTATTATTATT